TGGAGGCAGGTCTTCAGAGTTGATAGTGCCCTTCATACCTGTGACCTGTTTGACCTGTCCCAGTTGGAAGGGCAGAGATTGTTTCCATTTCACAGATGAAGGCACAGAGGCTTAGGAAGGGTAAGTGAGTAAGGGGCAGGGCTGGACTGGAACACAGATTGCTGTCGTGTTCCTTCCAGATCCGCCCTGCTTCTTCCAGCTGCTCTGCGAGCCCCGCTGACCCCTCTGGTTACTGGGTATGTGACTCAAATTGAATTGAGCAGAGTAAATGCCAAGTTCCAGCAAGAGCTGGAACTCCTGGCAAGAAGGAACTGTCTTTCCACTGGAGCTCCTAGCTGGTAGGATGTACACAAGCCACCCTGTCGCCATGGGGAGAAAGGCTGCCTGAGAGTGAAGCCACCATAGAGGATAGCAGAGCCAAGGCAGGAGAGCCAAGAGTCCAGAGAGCATCATTTGAGTGTCAAGATTCAGCCATGCCTGTACTTTCCCCCTTTCGTGTTTCTGCCAGCCGGAGTTAGGGATGGGAGGGACTCCACCAAGGGGTTACAGCCAACCACCTGGGCTTACGAGGGGCACTTGCGGCCCTACCAGCACCCGCACAGACTGGACCCCATCCCTCTGGTGCCACACTGTACCTCCATGGCCTTCTTCAACTGCTTGGCATCGTAGTGGGCCGGTGGCATCATGAGCCCCAGAATCAGCCTCGCCAGGTCTCCAGAGAGCTCAGACTTCAGATCGGCCATTAAGTCCTGCCAAGGGCAGAGCCAAGGTCATGCCAACATCAGCACTTGCCCACTTACGACCCAGGCCAAGGAGGATATATGGGATGAGGAAATGGACCCCATGGGGGAATCTAGGAAGCCTGTGTCTGTCTTTGCTGATGTTGGACTTACTATTTAGATGAAGCCAAAGAGGTGGGGAAAAACCAACCAGGAGGAAGACCTGCTCTCCTTGGAGGCAGGAGGCAGCAAAGGGAAGGGGGCAGCACCGAGGATGCCATTTCCATCTGGGGGAAACTCATCAGCCGAAGCCAGATGCCACCAAGGCGCAATAGTCACTAACACTCAGCACTGGGCCTTGAAGCCAGTGCTCTCTGTGCAGAGGAACCGCAAGACCACACGGAGCACTGCACAGAAACAACTCGTGATTTTGGGCCCACAGTGAGCCTCTGATGCCCCCGAACCATCCCGCACAAGTGTTGCCCGTCACAAGGAACTGGAGGAATGGAGAGATCCGTCTGCCCAAACCCAATGCTGGAGACACTGAGATCACATGACCACGTGGGTGCCATGGAGACCTGGCTGAGCTCCATCAGGGCAGGTGCGTGGACGTGGGGCCCGGGGTTCAGGAGGAGGCCCTTACCCGGCCAAAGTGAGACTTGAAGTTCTGCCGGATCTGCTGCCTCTGGGCGTTGCTGCGGTGCGTGATGATATCAATGATGGCGCCTTCATCAGTTCCTGAGTCACCAAAGCCACATGCCTCAGAAGAAGGCCCGTGGCTCAGCTTTCCCCACACCTGCCCCCCCACTGATGGTCGCCATCAACCTTTGTCAGGGTAGAGGCACCTCGCATCTGACTCAAGCCACTAAGTTCCCTGGGCTTGCTCCCTGCCTTTCCTGCCGTCATGCCACGGGTTAAGAAGAAAGGACACCTGGTGAGTTGAGGGTACTGGGTTGGCAGTCAGGACCCCTGAGTTCTAGTCCTGGCTCTGGCACTGGCTGTCCACCTTGGGCAAGTCCCTTTCCCTTCCTGGGACTCAGTTTCCACATCTGTAACATGAAGAGGCTGGAGTAGTTGCTAAGAGATCCTTCTAACCCTGACAATCTGAGTCCTGTTTGCTGGACCCCAAGTCCCTCTAACAGTAGGCTGGCTCTGGAAGGCATTAAGATACCACTTATTGCCTCTCAGATTACTGCCATCCGCCTCAGACCTGGCACAGGACTCTGTCTTTCAAGGCGTTTTTACGTCTATCATCCTACAGTCCTAGGTAGGCTCCATCGGTGTTACCACTCCCATGAGACGAATGGAACGGAAGCCCAAGAGCTGACGGACTTAACCTTCAGCCCCCTGGGGGCTACTGCTGTACAGATGGGGGAGAAAGGCAATGGAGGCCAAACCCTGGACGCCCTGATCCCAAGCTGGGTGCAGGGTCAAGACCATCAGGATTGAGCCCTCCTCATCCTGTGGGCCCCGGTTTGAGGCCCCTCACCGCCCGGCCCGCTGCCGAACACAGCACACCCACTGCCACAGACCAGCCCTGCCCTTCACGTCCCCCTCACCGATTCCCTTCATGGCTTTGCGCAGCGCTTTGGCGTCTGCATCAGGGTTGAAGTCATTGGCTGGGCGCACGGTTCCCTTCAGCTGCAAGAAGCAGAAAGAAACTCAGCAGGTGTCGAAAGCCCCCCCGGGGGGCCAGGCCGAGAGAGAGAATATGCACAGGGTGGGAAGCTTTCCCCACGAGCCCAAACCAAGCAGCTTGGGGGGACCAGGCGGAGGTGAAGCCACAGCAGACAGACCCTGCATCAGAGCTGAGAGAGAGAGAGAGACACACACACAGATCCGGCCCGGGAGCAAGGCAAGTGCTGGGCGGAGGACAGTGGCCAGGCTCCTGCCTGCTGGGATTCAGCTGTCTTAGCTCCCTGGGGCTTTCTACTCCATCAGCCCCCCCAGTCCCTCAGACTCCCACCTGCTCCCGAGGCCCCCTCTCCCTCTTAAAGAGCCACTCCCCCTGAAAAGGCAGCAGAAATGCTCTGAAACACCAGAACAGAGTTTCCCAAACTTCAGTCACTCCTCGGTGACTTTCACAATGTGTTCCAAATTCACATATGCCCTATGCCATTTCTTAATATCGTTACCTACTTGAACTTCTTTTCTGTCTCGCTTAAATGTATCCATTTTGAAGTACATTTAAAGGCTCCTAAAGGGCACGGACTTTTGTCTGCTTTGTCCTGTGATACATCCCAAGTGCCTGGAACAGGGCCTCACACAAACTAGGCACTCAGAAAATATCTGGTCAATGAATTAATGAATGGAAATAATTTGATATTACTAGCATAAATTAGGAAGTCAGACTCGTGTGTCATAAAAAGACGATAAACCACAAAACAAATGTAATAAAAACAAAACAAACGTGAAATATAGTCAGATTGAACATGACGCCATTGCTTGCCAAAAGCTCTGAACTGGAAGCTAGCTCTCTCCGCTCTCTCTGTGAGAAAGGAAAATCACAGAACGCTGCAGAGATGTGGCACCAAACCAGGACTTTCTCTTTGACGCAATCAGAAAGGTTGACGGAATTGAAGAGTGGCTTCCTCATTCACCAGGTGAGGCTCAGTGCTATTTAATGCCACGGAAGCCCACCCCGCCCTGCCAATCTAAGCTCATTTCTCAGATCACTTAACATCATCTGCAATGATAGATAGTTCTTGCCTTAGAATTTGGGAAACGCTGTCCTAGAACATCAGAGCTCAAGAGCTCTTAGAGGTCCCAGAGATCGCCACGTCTATCCCCCTCATTTTAAAGATGGAGGCACAGAGAGATGGGGACCTGCCAGAGGTAGCACAGCAAGTAAGTAACCGTGAGAAACAAAGTTGGAATGCTGTGCCCCAAGTACTTCTGTGCAGCCTTTCATCCCGTCCTCTGTGGACCCCGGTTCTGAGGATGCTCAGGAGGACAACCTCAAATCCTCCAGGGCACCCAGGGGTGCCCATCTGTTCTCAGCTTTCATGCTCTGAAGCCCCACTGTTGGACCCAGCGTGGGACAGGCCCCTCCCTGGAACCAGCCACGTCTCCATTTCTGCAGGCCCTGTTAGCAGTCAGCGGACAGAACACTCCCCGGCGTGCCAGAAGTTAACGCGGGATCCAGGCGCCCCCGGAGTGCTGCCCACCAGGTCATTACTCCAAGGGAGAAAAGGAAGCTTCAGATGCGAGAAGCTGTGTCTCGGGTTGGCCACCAGGGGGCAGCTGAGTGCCAACCAGAGCAGCAGGAAGGTGCGAGCAGAGAGTGCAAGCTTGTGGTCAAGAGGTCAAGCAGAGGGGAGGGTCTGACCTCTGTTGGGGCCACTGCACTAAGTTCCCACATCTGATAGGCCACCTGCGCTGCCTCCGGGAAGAACTGGCCAGCAGCACTGGAATGGAGGGGTTGGGGACAGGACAGGAGGGAATGTCACCTCGGGCAACATGCCACACGTGCAACACACCCCATCACACACAAGTGGCCCAACACACACACCCCAATACACACACACACACACACACACACACACACACACACAGAGGTTTCTTTCTCTCTGGCCTATACCTCATCCATTCACCAGAGTCCTCCCTCCATTTCTGAGAACTTTCCACCTCTCGAGACCCCCTGCCGCGCTGGCTCTTCCCAGCAGCCTTCCGACCCAGGGCCCAAATGGGACAGGGTTTCTCCAATCCCTCCAATCCCTTTCTTCCTTAGAGTCTGAGACACGTCTGTCCCAGTCCCCCTTCCAAGCAGGCCGATGAGCAGGCTGTGGCCACGTCAGCCTCCACCTCCTCCTGCAAAGGGCCCGGATATTCAGGTGCTCAGGAAACGTCGGCCGAACTGCCTCAGCCCCATGGCACTGAGCAAAGGTTAGCAGGAGGGTCTCACACCCCTTCCTTAGCCGGATCCTTAGAAGCCCCAGAGAAGGGAAATCCAAGCACCTCTAATTCCCTTTCCAGGACACAAACCCAGTCAAGTCACGGCCCAAGTTCACAGTCCCGGATGAGGCCCCAGGGCCTGCCCAGCTCTCTGCCTTGTTTCTCTCCCCAGTACTTCGCAGAGGTGTGACCGCGGTCGTACAACCGAGCCAGGCTGGTCCTTCTCACCTCTAGGACTTTCTACAGGCCATTTCCTCTACCCGAAACACTGTCCCCAGACCCCCTCTTCACCTGGCTCCTGCTCCTCTTCAACCTCCTCCTTGGGCCTGGCCTCCTATCTCCAAAGCGCCTCGCCAGTCTGGGCTGGTGCACCTAGACGTGCTTTCGCATACAATTATCATGTGGCCCTAGACTTCTGTCCCATTCCAGGCCTGCCTGGTAAACTGGTCTGTGTGCACTTCTAGGCTTCTTCAGGTGCTTTCCACGGGCCCGCACCGGAAGGCACGTAATACAAACGCGCTGTACAAATGAGTAGGCAGCAGGGACTTGTATTCTTCCCATTTAACAGATGATGACACTGAGAAATGGCTATGAAGTAGCAGGGCCTGGACCCTCCTATTCTAAATCCACGACCCCAGACTGACTTTCCACGTTCACAAGGGCAGATATCTTCATGTGAGGAGACCACACTCACGTTCACACACACACACACAGACCCACATGCACAACACACACTGGCAAAGGCCACCTCTCACCTGTGTGGTGCTCATGGCTCAGAGGTATCCCCAGCTCACCCAGTCCACCCAATCCATCCACCGGATGAGAGCCGGGAGAAGCTCGGCCTGCCACCCTAGGCCACTGCCTCCAGCCCGGGGTCAAGAAGCCACTTACTCATCATCTCCCCCACACAGCTTCAGCAGAGCCTTCTTGTACTCGCCAGAGGTGTCGTTCTGGGGTGAAAGAAAAAAAGGTTACCTCTTACCCAGCCCTGGGCTCCTCTCAGACAAGGAGGGAAGGGCCTGTGTAACCCAAAATGGAGAGAGGCTGAACGAACACTGGTCCACAGTAGCCCCGACCCTCCTCCCGTGTGGAGGTGGCTGAGTCCACCAAACAGTGGTGTGCTGGTACATACTTAACAACTGGCTCTCTGGGAAAGGGAGGGAAGGAAGAGAGGAAAGCAGGGAGGGAAGGAGGGAAAAGAAAAGAAAAGAATAAAGAGAAAAGGAAAGGTAGCGAAAGGGAAAGAGAAAGGGAAAGGGAAAGGAAAAGGGAAGAAACAAAGAAAGCAAGCAGGCCCTGATTTGTAGCATTTGCCCATTTCTGTGGTGTAAATACTTCCAATGACGGATAATTTCAAGTTACCGACATGGCTTCACTGAACGTGGAGCTGAGAGATGCTCACCGCTCTCCCGAGCCAGTGCCAGACGGCCCCAGCACACCACTGCCACAGAAGCCCCCAGCCCAGCCCTGCCCCGTGAAATACTCCATGAAAACAGCACCCCATGAACAAATGCGCTGGGAAACACCCAAACCCAAACAAATATATGCTTGACAGAAGCACACTTTGATACAGATGGCATATTCTATATCCCTCTCAGGGCTTCATAATGGACTTTGAAATATTAAAGGCTGTGAGACATTCTGAGGTAAAGAAACTAGTTTTGCTTATTCTAGTTTTCTCCAAACTTCCTTTGCCATGGAACATTTTGCACATAATGCCTACAGATATTCCTCTTTGGAAACATACCTTGGGGAACACACTTGGATCTCGTTCCCTGTTATCGCCACATAGCTCTATTCCAGTCACCCAAAAATAGAGAGAAAACCCCAACTTTACATCTGTTCCCTTGACAAAGCCTCCCGACCCCAGAGTCACCACCAGGCACTGGGCGCAGGGCCGGGCACAATCCCTCGTTTGTGTTCTTCCAGGGCCCCTCTTCTTCCAGGACACCAAACTCTCGGCACCCTGGGGACAGAGTCCCCATTCTTAGCTCAGCTTGTGTGTGCTTCAGGATCTAGCCCCTGCCTTCCTCTTTGAATTTCCTTAAATTCCTTGCGTGTGCTAAAGACGGGGGCGCCTGGAATTTCCAGGAGACTCCCAGCTTTCCAGGGCAGCTCCTGTCCTCCTGGGAGTGGTCTCCCTGCCCCGTGTCTCGGTAGAAAGCTCTCTGCCCCCACGAGCTCTGCTGACCTTGATCATGCTGTAGAGGGACTTCTCGTACTTGGTCCGGAAGATCTCCCGGATGTCAAGCATGTCCAGCTCGCTACGGGAGACCATGATGCGGATCAGCGTGTTGTCCCGAGTCCCCAGGCCCTGGAAGACAAGCGGATTTGAGGAATGGGGACTTGAGAGGAGGTTAGAGGTTAGGAGGTTAGCTCAGTTGGAAACACTATTTTCATAACAAGTTAAAATTAAGGACAAAAAAAGCAGACCTTGCCAGTCCTTTTGACACGCCCTGTGTGTTCCTCTCGCTTTTATAAACCCCTACTTCTCCCTTCATAGATCACTTCCATCCTCGATTTCCCTTATAATTTATCCATAACCTTGTAACTCTAAGCAATATACTTAGATTTGCAACTAAATCATTTTGGAACTTTGCAAATATACCACTGTGCATTTATTTTTCTACTCTTGATGGACATTGTGCTGTTTCCAGTTTTTTCCTAATACAGGCAATCCCGTCATGAGCATTACTATGACGTGTACACACAGGCAAACATCTCTCTAGGGCTGGGCTGTTCGACCTCACGATGGCACACTGGTGGACAGAGAATGGCCATCATTGCCCTTTTGGGTTGGCCAGCGGGGCCAGAAAGGCCCGATCTCTTGGGCCTTGGGCCTCTGGCTGCAAATGACTGCGTTCATTTACTCCGGTGTGCCATGGACTGTCATCAGTTTCTCTGTGTGTCATATATGTCAAAACCTGGGAAGCGCTGGCCTCAGGAACACACCAAGAGTGGAATTGTTGGGTCGTAAGGTAAACATTGGGAGTCTTAGCTGACAATGCTTTCCAAATTGGTCTTGTCTACGTACACCGTATATAAACATGCTGGTCAATTACTATTTTTTAAAACTGTGGGCTGCCATCCCATTTGGCCGCTAGATCGGGTACAAGCTGCCCCTGCACCTTCTGATGGATCAGGCAGTGAGGTCAGGTATGCAGGGGGGAAGGCATGTGACCAGGCAGCAGCCCAGGCTCTGGAGCTCACCTGGGACAGGGCACCATCCCCAGGGTCAGTCCTGTGGCCATCCCCACCCCCGAAGGACTCTCTTTGGCCAGTGGACCCCCAAGGACTCGCCAAAGATTCCCAGTAGTCCCGTGTGGGAAGGCAGAGACCCCTCCCCCAACCTCATTCACATTGACCCCAGCACGCACCTTCATGGCCTTGAAGAGCCTTTCGGCAAAATACTCCGGGGTGCTCCGGATACACTTCACTGTGAAGAGGGAGGAAGAGGTAGAGTTATTCTGGCTGCCTCAGAAGTGCGATGGATGGCCCGGTCCCTTCTTTGTTTCCATTCCTTGGGGGCCACCTTGCTCAAACACAGGAAGAACCCCGGCTCCTGACAGCCACAGCCCCAGAGCTCCCCAGAGACACCCATTTTTACCCAGACCCAGGGGACAAAGAAATCAGAAAAAAAGCCTGTTAGAATCTGAGTAGGCTGGGCGCGGTGGCTCACGCCTGTAATCCTAGCTCTCTGGGAGGCTGAGGCGGGTGGATTGTTTGAGCTCAGGAGTTCAAGACCAGCCTGAGCAAGAGCGAGACCCCGTCTCTACTAAAAATAGAAAGAAATTAATTGGACAACTAAAAATATATAGAAAAAATTAGCCGGGCATGGTGGCGCATGCCTGTAGTCCCAGCTACTTGGGAGGCTGAGGCAGGAGGATCGCTTGAGCCCAGGAGTTTGAGGCTGCAGTGAGCTATGATGATGCCGCTGCACTCCAGCCTGGGCAACAAAGTGAGACCCTGTCTCAAACAACAACAACAACAACAAACACTACAAAACTACCCCTCGGCAAGTGATCAGATTCAGTAAGACTCAGTTTCCTCCTCTGTCAAATGGAGATAATGGCAGTGGCCTCTCCTGGGTCTTTATTAAAGATCAAACACTCAGTGCAGTGCCTGGCACAGCAGATGCTTCACAAAAGCCCACTACCGTGATCATGAAGCTCCCGATCCCAAGTTCGTGCTCTTCCTCCCCCTCCCACAGTGGAGAACGGAACCAGTACCTGACTCCCTCCCCTTGCCCGGCCTCAGCCGGCTGCCCTTGGTAGACCTTCAGAAGTCATGGCCCATCTGGTTTTCTCCTTCCCAACTCCATACCATAAAAATTCCCCTTTTCCATTCTTGGCCCCTCGTTCCTGAACCAGTGTCCCTTGATGCCCTGGGAATGCAACGTCAGGACATACCCACAGCCAGCATTAGCTTCTCAAAGTCCCCGGACAGCTCCCCTCGGATGCTGGCTTCGATCGGCTTTCCCGTGGTCCTCAGATACTCATCGAACACTGAGACAGAGAGACAGGGATGTCTGAGAGTGTCCCCACAACACTAAGAAGAAACAGACACTTCAAAAGCAGAGGGTGCAATGCCCAGGACCCGAGTGTCCAACACGAAGTGAGGGCTGGTGCCTTGGTGAGGTGGCCGGTTGGTCACACGTATCACCAGGCACCATGCCGACCAGCTTCACGCGTCGGTGAGGGACTGTACCCCACTCTGTAACATGAAGACAGGACTGGCACTTAGATGGAAGGGCTGAGCAGCCTACTGATGACTTTGGCGAGGGACCACACAGACCACTGTCTTGACAAAATTAGGACTAGTCTTTGGGTTGGGGATGAAATAGCAATCATGTTCCATTGGTAGTAAAGAAAAGGAAAGGAAAAAAGAAAGGAATTCTTGCCACAACCCTAAAGGGGCAGCTTAGGTCCTCTCTGGAGCTTACCTAACCGAAGATGCTGCTTGCTGCGATTTCCCAAGATGTAAATGAACTGGGCTTCATCCGTTCCCCATTTCAGTTCCCCTGCCTCGTACAGGTCCTAAAGGGGAAGAGGTGGAACTTAACTGAAAGAGGAAACCTCAGGAGATGGGGCATGCTGACCAAGCCACTGAGAAATACTGCCTGATCCCTGAACATACCAGCAGTTGGTAGCCTCAGGACCTTTGCATATGCAGTCATGCACTGCCTAACAACGGGGATCCGTTCTGAGAAATGCATTGTTAGGTGATTTCACCACTGTGCGAACATCAGAGTGTACTTACACAAACCTAGATGGCACAGTCTACTACACACCTGGCTGTATGGTGTAGCCTGTTGCTCCTAGGCTACACACCTGTACAGCACGTTACCGTACTCAATACCGTAGGTGACTGTGACACAGTGGGAAGTATTTGTGTATCTAAATACACCTGAACATGGAAAAGGTAAAAATATGGTACCATAATCTTACGGGACTGGGGAGTGCCTTCGCCTATGCAGTGTATTTTTGACTGGAACTTTATGTGGCGCACAGCTGTACCTGCATGCCTTTCTTCCTTTCTTTCTTTCTTTCTGGAGACACTCCTACCCAATTTTCAAGGCTCAGGCTGAATGTCCAATTTTTTCTCAAGGCACTTCCTGATGCCCTCAGGAAGAGTTCTCTTTCCTTCCCTCCTTCCCTCTTCTAGGCTCCTACAGCTTTCCACTTCTTTATAACTTTGATCTACTGTATATTACGATGCTTTCTTCCCGTGTCTGTTCCCCACTATTGCATGGGCTCCTCAAGGACAGAAACTATGCCTTGGCAGTCTCTGCATCTGCCCCTGTAGTGTTGCTGGTACACAGTGGGTGCTCAAAACACCTGGATTGTATGGTGTATCCAGAGACGGTACTTGTGTGGTTAATATAAACTTGACTCTCCCAGTACTGCCTGACTTTGTTCATCAGTAATTCCCCAACGCTTGGGAGAGTGCAGGTGTTTTTCTATAGTAAATATGAAATAACTGAATGAATAAATGAGGAAAGGTCCAAAATACATCTCGCCAACATTACATATGGAACGAACCCTTGATAGATAACTTAAATGTTTTCTTCAACAAAGCACTGTATAAATGATGGCTATGACTGGGTTATTTCTGGTATTCGATGCAAATGACTGCACCGCCAGCCCTTCCCAGGCCCCCGCCCCTCCCCTCTGTGGCTGTCCTCGGGGACTTCCATCGGTTTGTATTTACCTGGACGTCCTGTTGTACCAGGTCCTCGCTCACTACATCATCCTCCTCCCTGGTTCCCTGGGCAGAGAGACAAAGGATATGTGTTTCAAATACGCAGGGCCAGGGGAAGGCATGGATGCCAGGGGTGTAGACAGGGAAGGCTGAAAAGACTGTGGTGGCCTAGGGGTGTCCAGGAGCAGTGACTGCCACTGGATCAAGACAGCAGCACCTATTTCATGGGGTCACACAGTCCCTCCTGCCGGCCTCTCCCTTTATCTTTGGGGCTGGGACCACACAGGGAAGTCCCAAGAATAACCAGGGTCCTTCTAGGTGTTCCCATCCCAGAGGAAGTGAGATCTTTGTACTGAGGACACCTCTGAGAACAGGGACAGGGGCTCAGTATCTGGATGGCCCCTGCCACAGGTCCTGGCATTGCCCATGACACCCCCCAAAAATGATTGCACAGGGATTAAGAGTCTGCATGTTTGTATTCCATTAGGAGTTCCCATACCTTAACCCAAACAGTTCACCAACGAGGATTTGGGACTTGGGCCCCCAGATCTGAGCTCACACCTGCAAAGGCACCAAATTCTATTGGTAGCTCTTTTGTTCTGCCCAAGCCCTATGCCCCATCTGATAGGGGAGGCTTAAAAACAGGAAGATACTCAAAGGGGCCAGGGGCAAGCCACCCTGGGCTCCTTGGTTACATGGCCAGGGGTCTGCGGTGGGCCTGGAGGGGCCTATGCTCCCCTCTTTCCCCCGGACGGTGCATTCCAGGATTGCAGACCCTTTGGGTTCTCTCTGGGGCTGAGTGCAAGGCGGAGCTGGCACGCCTACAGTCTGCCACCCACTACTTGCTGTCAGATGTTAGGGGGACAATACCCCCGACTTCAAGATACGGGGTGGGACTCTCCTCTCCAGAACAAGCAGCTTTGAAAATGAGGCCAAGGTCACACTGTCCCACTCCTAATATTTCTCCCGATAATTCCCCAGCTGGTTAATCTGGGGTGTGGGTTGTCACGGTAACGAGGAGAATTGGGAGGAACTGGTATAAAGTGGGACACGGGGGACAGGGGAATGGAAAGGAAACAAAGTGCGAGCTTAATTTACATACAGGGTTTCATAAAGTTTTGGTCCTTGGAGCCGGGCTTGAGACACCTTGGTGCCTGTGGCCACAGATTTTCTGCAGAGCCAGCAGATAAAGCCAGTGGTGAAGCGGGCAGGGGGACGTGTGCCAGCCCCTGCAGTCGTGCAGAACGCAGGCCTGCTGCCAGGCTGTCACTACATCGAAAGAATCCAGAAATCTGGGTTTTCAGCAAAATCGCACTATTTTTAAGTGTTAGCAACTAACTCCAAGTTGTTTTGCTTTGTTTTGTTAAACACATGGTATGGGAAAACAAAGGAAAAAAATCCAAGTTGGCAGGTTGCATTCGGCCATGGACACCAGGACACCAGCTCACAGCGTCTTTCTAATGTCTTTCTGAAAGACTCCGTGGGCGGCTGGGAGGGGCAGCAGGGCCCAGAGAGGAGGGGGAAGGGGCAAGTGTGGACAGAGCAAGGAGCTCATGGGAGAAGACACTCCTGGGCCCAGGTGGGGGGTGTGTGCCAAAGGGAAATGCGGATCACCTGAACACACCTGCCTGTGCTAACCGGGGGAAACGACCAGGACCCTGGGCACTCGGGTTCTACATCGGGTGAGCCGGATGGACACCATCTCAAGCTCCAGAGGACAAGGCAGGCAATGGACTAACCTGGAGCAGGACCACCAGCATCTTCTGGAAGTGGCCAGAGGTGTCGCCCATGATGTCAGCCTCCAGGTCCCGCTCATAGGCTGCAGGAAAGAAGACAAGCTCTAGTCTCATCCCCAGAAACCTCGTGGATCCAGGATAAAGGTCCCTGCTGCCCCCAAAATGATCAGATCTTTGTCACAAATCCCCAAACTCAGTCTACGTGAGTGCCATGGCAAAACCAGGGTGTATTTTCACGGTTCTCAGTGCTGATCATGGTATGAGAAACTGGAATCTGTCTGCTTCTCTCTGCACCCACCTTTACCATCCTACTGTGGCCACCACTGTCTCTCACCTGGACAGCGGCTACAGCTTTCTGACGCCTCTCTCTGCCTCTACTCTCATGTCCTCTCCAGTCCACAGCGACAAGGGTGACTGTCTTACAGCCCGTATTTGATCTTAATACTCACCAACTTCTCACTGGACTCAGACTAAAACACCATCTCTCTCTCTTGGCCTGCAAGGCCCTGTGCGATCCCGCCCTGGCCTCCACCCGTCTAACCTCAGACTGGCTGCCAGCCTCATATTTGCTCTGGGCCTTTGGACTGGCCCTTCCCCCTGCTGGAAGGATCTTCTCTCCACTCTTCATACAATTGGCTCCTGGTTTCCTCCCAAGATAGGCTTTCCCGGACCACAGTCTGAGTGGGTCCTCCCCAGTGAAAGGCTGACTCTCGTTGTCTTGTTTCCTGCATAACACTAGCTACAATGTATACCTGTTTACGTCTGTCTCCCTCATCACCTCACTGGCCTGTAAGCTCTAGGAGGCAGGGACTACATTGGTTTGAACCACCACCTTACCCTAAGAACCTCGCATACTACTGAGCACAGAGCAGGTACTTATTGGATAGCTGGAGGAAAGGATCAGAGGGAAGGAGAAAAGGTGGATAGACAGAATCTTAGTGTCCCCACCCTTGCAATCATCTTCCTTTTGTATCTGAAGATCCTGAATGGCCCCTCCTGCCCATCTCACCGTCTTTGTATGCTGCCACCAGCTGGTGGATCTGCTCATTGGTCCGGGAAGCCAAGATCTCAATGAGGCACTTCTCGTCGGTGCCAATGCCCTGGGAGAAGAGAAGGAGCACGTTGAGTCAACGGCTGGGACGGGAGGCTGCTGGCCACAGGTTGGGATCCTGGAGTGGCCAGAGCTATGCAACCCCCAGCGCTCAGGGGGCTCCTACCACAGCTCTTAGGCATTGGTCAGGAGCTGCTGCCCTGAGACTCCTAAGGCATAGGTTTTGGTTCCGCCTCTGCCAGCAGCTTGCTTTGCGACTTCTGATTTCGAAACTCTATCTTGTGGGGCCTCAGTTTTCCCATCTATAAAATGGAGATGATACTGGTTGCTCTACCAAACTCACAGGGAGATTGAGAAGGTAATAATCTCTCACAGTGCTAAGTGTATCCATTTATGAAACGAATCCCAGCTTAATAGATCATCAGAGACAGAGATTATAGTATTTTATAAACTGTAAAGTGCCAGACAAACTCAAGGGCTTTTTATATCTCCTTTCTTCCTAGAGGGCAACCCTCTACCTCAACCAGACTTCGCTGCTCCTCATACCCTGAACGCACCTCTACAACTTCTCCCACCCTTTTCCCCAGCTGGTAATGACCTTGACATTCCTACCCACCAAATCCTCTCCTGGTTTGGGGGCTCAACCTACGCTCCCATCCTTTAAGTTGCCCTCTCAAGACACCCGGGCCGACGGTCTGGCCACGCTGACCACCTTAGTGTGCCCTTGGCCTCTGGTGCATTGGACACCATTTGTCTCCACGTCCCTACAATCTGCTTCCTTGGGACTGTAAACTCCTGGTGTGGGGGGCTGGGTTGAGGGCCCCTTTCATGGTCTGCATCACACTGACATCTGTCCACATCTGTCTGGAGGACACTGCGATGCCCCTCTGGGATAGGGTGTGGGCAAGCTGCCTCGTGAAGCAGGACACATCTGCTGGCTGGTTCTGGGGCTCCCCAGATGCTTGCTGAAGAGCCTGGAATCTTCCCGTTAACCACGCCCCCAGCCCGACTCACACACAAACGCCTATGCTTCTTACCGAGATGGCGTCTTTAATCTCTTTGGCATCACAATAGGCAAGTGGCCGCATGAGGCCCACGATCAGCCGTTCAAACTTCCCCGTCAGCTCATACTTCAGGTCAGCAATGAGGTCCTGGGGGATGGGCAAGAGGAGGGATAGGAGAGGAAGGAAGAGTATCACAATGATAAGAATTACATTTAATGAGCACTTACTCTGGAGGCGCTGGGCTAAGTAATCTCATGGAATCATCGCGCTCGGAGGCCTGTACTATTACCAACCCTAAGAAATAGGCTTAGAGACATCTGGTAACTTGCCAAGCAAATGGCCGCGCGGGTTCAAGCCTACAGCACCGGGCCCCTTCCCCACCACGGTCTGCTCCCTTGTTTACTGTGCGTCCCTCCCACTCTCTGGGGACTCGACAGAGCTGACGCCTCATAGGTCTTATGCGCCAGCGCAGCCCTAACACCTAGCGGGAGCCCAGCACACAGCAGGTGCTCTAGATGTATCTGAGGCTGAAGGATGTCAGACTGAGAAGGAAAAGAGCAGAGTACGGCGTCAGCACAGAGGCTGACCTGGAGCGCCCTCTGCAGGCAAGAACCTGAATGAGCACACAGGTGAGTGAAATTGTTCCCAACCCCCACCCTGTCTGCCCTCCAGTCACCATGGTTACCTTGCCATAGAGGGACTTGTAGCTCTGGCAGACCTCCTGTCTCTGTCTGTTGCTCCGGGTGGTGATCAGCTCCAGTATGGCCTCCTTGTCACTGCCTGGCAGAGGGGAGGAAACCTGTCACCCTAACACACCCTGCCTCCAGGAAGCCCGCCAGGGCTGCTTCCTTCCCTGGACACAGGCCTAGCAGCTCCTGCAGCTCTTTGCGTGAGCCTTTTGCTCGTGAGGTGCTGGTGTTGAGGTTGGGGGATCTATGGGGACCTATTAAGTAGCCACTAAGAGGGGTCACAGCACAGGTTATCTGAGCTCAGAAGACCCTTGATCCAGCTCCTCACTGCACAAATAGGGAAACTGAGGCCCAGAGCAAGGCAAGCACTCACCCAGGGTCTCACAATGAGCCTGGCTTAGAAAACCAAGGTATCCTAACACTCAGCACAGGGTACTTTCAGCCACAGGACAAGAGAGAACATAAGCACCAAATTCAGGGTAGTGGTCACCAGAGCCAAGGCAGGGGGAGATGTCACCAGGAGGGAGACTGACCAGGGAAACTTCAAATATTCTGATGAAGCACTATTTCTTTAGTTGGGTGGTAGGTCTATGGGTGACGCTTCCATTATTGTTTATACCTTTTTGTTGGTATGAAATATTTTATTATAAAATTATGAAAAATAATCAAAAGAGAAGATAAAAAAATGAATGAGTATATTTTATCATCTCACCCCGCCCCCACGACCAGAAGGGCTCTGGGCTGTGCCCACACTTGGGGAACGCCCCCCACCTCCCACGAAGCCTACTGTCTGCAGACCCCTTTCTCGGGGGCCCGACACCCACCGAAGCCCTTCATGGCGGCGTACAGCGCCTCAGCATCCTGGCTGGGGTCGAAGTCTGGGAAGTCATGAATGGAGCCCCGGTACTTGGCACCCTGTAGAGAGGAAAGCAGAGGGTGAGCTGCTGACCCTGGACCTGGACCCAGCTCCTGCCCCAACCTCAGGCCAGACACTCCCCTGGCCCAAGCGGAGCTCCCTTTCCCGGCACAGTCGGGTGCTGACTACAGAAACCCTGGGGGAAGGGTATGGAAGATTCTCCACACCACCTGATGTGACCTGCCCAAACGACAGTGCCATTTTCCCAAGGGAGGGTGGCTTGGCCAAGGCCCACAGCCCTGCACCACCTTCCGCAGGGCCCAGGAGAGGGTAAAAAAGCCTGGCTGAGTTGGGAGGATGGAAATGATCCTTACAAGAGTAACAAGAGCCCCTCATATTTTAATGGCACTTTACAGTTTACAAAGCCCTCTCACCTTCACGAATGTGATTAGTTTGGCAGTTTGTAGAAGCACTTAAGATTATCTCCACCACGAGATGAAGCAGTCAAGCCCAAAGAAGGAGAGCCACTTGAAGGAGGTCACAGAGAACCTAGACCTCTTCCTCGCTCCCCTCTGCCCTCTAGCTCCAGAAACCCTGCTGCTGCCAGCTACTGAGGGTGGGGTTTGGGGCCGGCGGTTCCTAGACCCACCCTCAGTTTGATGCCAAGATAAGGTGCTGCCCCTCCCGGCCCAGTAAACTGAGCTGTGAACTGGTGTCTGAGGACAAGCTGGTTGGTCCTTGTGGGGAAGGAGGGAGAGGCAGAGAGCCAGGGGATCTGACACATCCAACCTGAGCCTGAATGCACAATGGGGCTGGTTCACAGGCGAGTCAGATGTGTGTCGGCCACACAGCACTGGGAAGTATGGGGTCCGGGACAGCAGCTGATAGCTGGCAGAGCTGAGTACGCCAGAGCCTGTCACTGAGCACACAGCACAGTGGCAAGGCACTTAATCCGTGCAAGGCCTGATGCTAAAGGGTAAAGATCTGGGGAGAAAGAGGATCAGATCCCTGTGTTTCATGAGCTCCTGGCCCAGGGGCAGAGAGAGGAGTATACCCATTACCATAAAGCTTGTAATAAATACCCTATTACCGTACAGTTTATAATAAACATGCTAAGACAGAAGCAAGGTAACGTGGGGAAACAGCAGTGGCTGATTCTAACTAGGGGGGAAACCAGGAGAGACTCCATAGAAGAGGGAGTTGGGGGGTGGCTCGCATCGGCTGTGTCTTGAAAGAGTGAGAAGTGGACAGGCAGAGTGGGTCCCCTGCTGTCCCCTGTGCCCCCAGTGCCCACACTGCGGGACCCTGGCCAGGCAGGCTCCCGTCTGCACAGGCTGGCTCCTCCGTGGTATGCATGCGTGGGTGTAGGGTTGCTATTTAAAGTTCTGATAGGGCGGGTGACCAGAAAGGGATCCGGCCCTCTTCCCGCCACCCATGAGTCCCCTGCAACCCGATCACACCTCTGGGCAGAGAAGGAAAGAGTAACACATGCCAAATACCCAGACCAGGGTGTCCTGCAAGGAGCTCAGCGAGTGCGGGATGGGGGTTCTACTGCCAGAGCTCCCTCAGCCTTATTTCAGACCTCACAGCTGGAGCCTGAGAAACCCCTGCCCCTACTCCACCTGGGGCAGGCAGGGGACCCAGGGACCCCTGGGGACAGGTACCACATCCATCCTGCCCACTGCACAGAGACTGACCAAAGGAGGCACTCAAGTATCCGTCACGTAAATAAATAAACAAGACAGAACAACTAGTGTCCTGCAGGTGTTTCAATTCCAAACCCTTTGGTCTTTCTCTCTGGACACGCTCCGCCCAGCAATTTCAAATGACTAGAGCAGACTAATACTAGCTTTGGGGATGGATGGAAAAATAAGAGGGCGAAGAGGCTTGGAAATATTGCTTTGCGAGGGTCCTTAAAGACCCTTCAGTTCTTGACTCCATGGAGGACAGGGACTATGTCATGAATGAGACAAATAAATCAGCCTAAGAAGCACTGTGGAGCCCCAGCCCTACACAGGCTGGGCACCGAGGCTGGAAGGGACTAGGCCGAATGAATGAACGACAACACCGTGACGGCTCAGGCTCCAAGATGGAGGATGCTGAAGGGGAGGGCAGAGAAGGGAAGCCCTTCCTGGCCCTGGATTTCCAGCAATGCCGGGCCTCCTGAGACAGGTGTGGAAAGTGTAAGCTTTGAAAGATGCCACTAGGGGCAGGTCCTCCAGGGTCTGTCTGGGCCCTCGGCTAGCCTGTTGCCATGACCCATGGTTGCTTTTCTCTCCACCTGTCTGAGCCAGCCTGTCCTAATCAGCACTAGCCTCCAATCCACTCCTCCAGTGGTGGAACGTTCCTCCCATGGTTCACTTGGAATAAGGGAGGGACTGCACCTTGAGAATCACATGCTGGGAACTAAATGAAGAGGGTTGGTATTAATATTACCACCGGTGTCTTAATACCCAAAACAGAGAGGGCAGGTGACATGTCAAGACCACACAGCAGGCCGGGCGCAGTGGCTCACACCTGTAATTCTAGCACTCTGGGAGACTGAGGTGGGAGGATCGCTTGAGGTCAGGAGCTCAAGACCAGCCTGAGCAAAAGCAAGACCCCATCTTCACTTAAAATAGAAAAATTAGCCAGGCTCAGTGGCGCGCACCTGTAGTTCCAGCTACTTGGGAGGCTGAGGCAGGAGGATCCCTTGAGCCCAGGAGTTTGAGGCTGTAGTGAGCTATGATGATGCCATTGCACTCTAGCCTGGGCAACAGAGTGAGACTCTGTCTCGAAGAAAACCAAACCAAACCAAATCAAAACATAACAACAAAAAACACCCCCCACATAGCTGGGAAGGGAATCCAAGGCTCTTTCTAACAGCCCATGCAGGTGGGGCTGCAGGTGGGAAGGGACAACCATCACACAGCCCAGGGCTTCTTCCCTGGCCAATGATGTCCACCTGCCCCCTCTTCTTGAATACTGAAGAACTGCAGTTACTTCACTGCACCCTGTGCCTTCTCTGTTGGAACCAGCTCTTTTTATTAAGCAGGTAGGCCCATTTCATCTCTGTGCCATTCTGACCCTGTTTTCAAGGTTATAAATAGGCAGCAGTGCCGTCCAAACCACGGGATCCTAAGTGCTTCTTACACTCAGACACTCACACTCCAAGGGCAGCTATAGCTGCCCTACAGTTCATTCATTCAATCAACCAAGCAAGCAACATTTACTGAGTATCTACTAAGTGCCAGGACCAGGGACCACTAGGAACTCATAGTCTGGCAGGGGAGATACATTTCAACCACAATATAGCTTGGTGGGTGTTATGCTAAGGGGAACACCGGAGCCAGAAAGAGATACTTCCTTTAGAAAGCTCTGGAAGGGCAGGGACGGTGTCTGTCTCGCTCACTGGTGCATTTCCAACATCTAGCACAGGGGCTGGAGCAACCAGGCACTCACTCGACATTTGCTCATAAATGGATGGATGAATGACTCTGAATATATTCAGAGCAGATCGTAGAAGGCTTCCTGGAGGTGAAGTCTAAGCAAGTCCTAAAGGATGAGTAACAGCTGGCCCCAAAGGGTACAGGAGGGAGGAAAGAGGTGAGGAGGAATAAGACATCACACAGAGGAAACACAAGGCAGAGGCCTGCAGGGAAGCAGGCCAGACTCTTCAGCATGATGCCCAGGGTCCCTAAGATCATCCACTGGGACAGAGGAGGGCAGAGAGATGAGGCTGGAGCATGACAGATAGGGATTAAATAAGCCATCGCGTCCTGCCATGCTGGTGAGGGTGGCTCTAGCCCCAGTGGCTGCCCTGGGCTCACCCCCCAAGTCAGGACCTGGGCAAGGCAAGGCTCCAGCACCCAGCACTGTTTTCCTTTCCCACTAAACAGAGGTGCCCCTTCCCAACCCTGTCCCCAGTGTGTGGCACCTTTTATTAGGTCGAACCACGTAACTTGCCTTTTAGATGGGTTAAAAGCAATCAAATAGCAGTAGGCTTCATGTGGCTCCAACTACCTGTCCCAAGGTTGATATGTGGGCTCTAGAAGACTTTTTAACTTGTCTGCTGGGACGGGCATGACTGGTGGCGACAAGTCCAAGACATATTCTGAGTCCAGACTCTTCAGAGCTCAAAGTCAGATGTCCAAAGTCGCTAAGATCATGGGATTGTAAACTGCCAGGAGGGGACGGGGAGAAGAGGGAAGCATGTCCCCAGGATGAAGGGCAGAGGACGCGACGGCAGGCGGACGGCTCCTTTCCTACTGCTGCTCCTCCAGCCCCTCCCTCCTCCGCGGCGTCTGGGAAGGGGCCGAAGTTGACAGGAGATGACGCAATGCAATGCTGTGGTGGGGAAGGTGTCTACCGACCTACACAGAGCTTGACCAAAACGCTCAGAGACAAGCTTCCTGAGCAGCAAGGTTGGCCTCCTGTGGAGTTCTTTACACGAGGATAATAAAATCGATTGGTTATCCTGGGACCCCACAGGACCACAGCCACTAGAAGCAGGGTGGGGTGCTTGGCACCGGTCACATTTGGAGACAGAGAGGTCCCTCAAATCACCCAGGCCCGGGGTTCCCACTTTGAATCACTCTCACACCAACGTCCTGAATTTTGCATCTCTGGTGCTCCCCGTGCAGCTGTGCTGGCTTCTCCCCGCCCACCTCCCGCTGCCTGTCCTCCCTCCGCAGACAGGTTCCTGGCCGCAGTGCCATCAGCAAGGCAGGGGGAGCAGAGGAGGGACTTTCCACCCTGAAATATTCAGCAGGTCCCGCTGCCAGCTGGTGAGCAGCCCGGGCCCTGGGGCTCTTCCGGCTGGGGCCCCACCCAGGCTGCTGCTGGAGCAGGAGTCCCGGTGGCCTCTTGGGAGCACAGGTGACATCCCCCAGAGAGAGGGCTGCCTGGCCACAACTCCAGCTGAGAGCTGCCTTGACCAGACCTTACCCAGGCCTCATCTCTACAGCTCCCAGGAGTCCCGGGTGCGAGCACCTGCCTCTCCTGCTCTGTCCTCGCGGTGTCTCTACAGTCATCATCGCATGCAAACCCAGAATGTCCCTGTGAAACTGAGGCCACAGTGCCATGCCTCCTGGGACCCTCCATGACACCACACTACTTCTTCATGTCTTTGGGCCTCAAGTTCCCCTCTTCTGGAGGGAGAGACAGGGAGAATGGCACACTTATCACAGTGCGAGGAGCTGGGGCGATCGGACCGGAGAAGAGCGGGCAGTCTGCCGTGTGTGCGCATGCGTGCGCGCGCACATATGCATGTGGGGGGCACCGGAAGCCGAGCTAATAATTGGAAGCAATAGATACAGACTTCAGCTCCACTTAGTTTCCCACGCTTCTCTAGTATTGTCTTCTGCAACGTCCTCTGCTCCCCCAGACCGGTGCACTCCAAGCAAACCAAAGTGCTTTCACTGCCCTGAACGTGCTGTGTTCTCTTTCTCCCCTCTGGCCTTCTGTTCCGGCCGTTCCTACCCAGACTGTTCTCAGTCCCCTTGCTCTTCCCCTGACTGGCTCTGTTCCCTCAGCCCGGGCGGGGCGCCTCCTGCATGCCCGCAGAGCTCCTTTACTGGCCCTGTGAGAGCACTGTGCACAGGGGGTTCCAATGCACCCCATGGAAGGAGACGCCCCTAGGGCCCTGTCTCTCTGGGACTTGTTTACAGGAGGTCTACTGGCCCCCGGTCCACGGCAACGAGAAACCACAGGTCAGCCAGGCATGGCCCAAGAGCACTGGACCAGGAGTCCAAAGATTTGTGCGTAGGTTCTGGCCTCTCTGATCTCCCAGGGCCTGACCTGGCCACTTGGATCATCTAGACTCCTGCAATTCAAATGCCCTTGAGGAAGTGGCTCTAGGATGACCACACGTGGGAAATGGGGAAGAGCAAAAGTGTCACCTTGGAGTTTTGCCCATAACCACAACCACTCTCTCCTCCGCGTCAGAGAGGCCACTTGCAAAGCATGCTCCTCAGTGGCTATGGGGAGGCCATGACTAGGACTTTTTCGAGGGCACTGATCCTATGTCCTCCAACATACTGTGCTTCTCGAAAACTGTGACTGTCCTTTAGGCCCAGGTTCACTGGGTGGCAAGTCATGAAGTCAGGGATGAGGTTTTGTTGTCACTGAGCTCAACCACCCTGTAAGAGGAAAATGAGGCCCAAAGGAAGTAAAGAACTCACAGATCCTGTATTTACATTCTGTGGCCCGTAGTTCTGGATTGAAGTAAGGGACAAAAGGGGACGAGTCAGGTGTCCGTCAGTTTTATTCTCCGCTTTGGATCCCACCATGACACTGACCATGCCTCCTTCTCTAAGGCCAGCCAACAGGGAACATGCTGGGGCACACCCTGACACAGGGTGACTCCTAGCTCTGACCATGGACCGAACCCAGTCTTAGCCACGCAGGAGTAAGAGCTCTGATGTGCCTCAAATTCCACTCCCCAGCAGGTGGTCAGACAGCATGAAGGATGGAGGTTAGAGTCTCCCAAACCAGGGAAGTTCATCCCAAATTGGTGTGACAGGGAACATTTCCATCTCCAGAGCAGAGAGGACTCTCTATTGCTTTTGTGCCTGTCCAGGATCCATTCCCTTCCTGGGGAACCACTCTTGGGCCATGCGGTTCAGGTGGGTCCAGCTCCCCTCCTGGGCCCAAGACAGAGCTGGTTACCCAGCCAATAAGGACCAGACCTGGGACCTCCCGTGGAATCACTAAGGACAAGTTACGTTGCTTTCCCGTGGGCTGCCTGAACAGCAGAATGGAGGCCCGGAGCTGCGGTGGCTGCCATGCCTGCCATGCCGAGGCAAGGAAGATCCTACCCAAGAATGAAGCCAGCAGAGGAAGCCCAGCTCGCAGAGGCAAATCCCAACACTACCATCTGGACCCCTGGATCCAACGAGACCTGAAGTCTTGGGGTTCTCAGTTCCGTCAGCCAATACGCATCCTTTTCTGCTTAGGATATTAAGTGTTGTCACTGGCGACCTGCATCTGAAGAGCTATGACTTGTAACGGGAGCAAGTAAAGCCTCAGAACCTTTCCTGCTCCTCGAAGCTGAAAAAGCTGGGGGTCTCTGCAGCAGGGGGATCGCAGGCCCAGGGGAGGTGGAGCACAACCTTCAGGAAGGAGAGGCCCCTTACCTGTGCTGGTTTGGCCATGGTCTCAGGTTCTGCAGCAGAATCCACTGTGGAGAAGAAAGAGATCTGTGAGAATTCCCCCACACTCTGTTCCTCTCTGTTTTTCCCTCCAAATATCCTCACCCTGCTGTTTTCCAGCTGCCTCCAGCCCTTCAGGTTAAATCACACCCAACCACCTGGCTCAGGGCCAGGCATACTTTTTCCCAAGGACAATGGAAAGATTACATGGTGTCCAGACATTCACACACTTGGGACGCAGAGGGAGGGAGGGCATGACCTCCGACCCGCCACTGACTGCTTGACTCGAGGCTATGCAGTGCGCTTGTCCCAACGGCGTCTTACTTAATCCTCAGAGCAATCCTTCCAGGCATCAGATTCTCCTTTTTTATAGAGGAGGAAACTGAGGCTGGGGCATCACTATATATGATCCAAGGTCACACAGCTTAGAACCGAATCCAACAATTTCCAGATTCCAGAGTCCATGCTACCTGCAGCACGTGTGCTCTCTTCCCAAGTCAACAAGAGCCCCGGGCTTGCAGGTTTGCAGCGGCGACTCAGGGCTTCCCCACCACCTGCCGCACCGTCTGGAGGGTTATCATTCCTGTACAAGTCACTAATGATTTATTCTGAGCTGCGCACTGCTCTAGGAATTGGGGAAAGTATGAAAGAGATTTTTAAAACTCTGCTTTTCTGGCGCTTCTGCTAGGGTAGAATAACAAATGGATATATCAGGCTGAGATAAGAACTAAGCAGAAAAGACGAAGCTTGGTCAGGAGGGTTGCCAGGGGGGGCGTTCCCGGTCGGGGGGTTCGGGGGTTTTCCGGACCCCCTTGGGGGCGGTTGGGTTGGGGGGCCCCCCCGGCGTTCGTTTTGGTTGTTTTGTTGCCGGGGATTGGGGGCGGGGGCTGCTGGGATGTAGAGTCAGGGGGTCAGTGCCTGTGGCCACTGGAAAGACTGGATTTTTCTCTGGTGGGACAAGGCCATTGTGGGGGATATGAACACACAGGACACACGATCTCATTGAAAATGGATAAGGAATAGGAGGTGGAGGTGTCAGGAGACAGAGAAGGAACAACGTATGTTACCTAAAAATAAGCGGAAGAAAGGGATGTAACTGACTTGGAAAGGGGAAGAGAAGGGAGTGGGAGCTGGGTTCATGAGCAGTGTCAGCAGGAAGGCAAAAGAGGAAAGTTATACAATCTTCTTAGGACAAGGAGAGGAGAAACAAAGGACCACTGCTTTTCATTTTAAGCAGGGCGGGACAATTGGATCTCTCCTAACTATGACTATGTACTGCTTTTCTTTCTTTTTTCTTTTGAGACAGAGTCTCTCTCTGTCGTCCTGGCTAGAGTTCAGTGGCATCATCATAGCTCACTGCAGCCTCAAACTCCTAGACTTGAGCGAGAGCGATCCTTCTTTCTCAGGTTCCCGAGTACCTGGGACTACAGGTGTGCGCCACCACGCGTGGCTAATTTTTTCTATTTTTGGTAGAGATGAGTTCTTGCTCGTGCTCAGGCTGGTCTCAGCCTACTGACCTCAAGTGATCCTCCCACCTTGGCCTCCCAGAGTGCTAGAATTACAGGTGTGAGCCATCGCACCTGACCCATGTATTGCTTTTTTAAAAAAATTGTTAATTAAACATTTAATTTTTATTATAGCAAACACAGATAGACGATTGCATTTTTGTATGTTACAAGTACACTTGGCAGTGCATCAGGGCCTCTTGTATAATCAATGTGTACAGCACATCTTTGCTCCTTTTATAGAACTTAGAACATAACTTTATCGTATCATGTGGAGGCTTATATTTGAATCTTTTAATTTCTAACATTTTAGTCGTATCTATGATTTATTTGATTCCGAAATCTTGGCCAGGATTTCGACTGAAAATTATAATGTTAGGATCAGTCCTAAAATTACAAAATATGGAACGCTTCACGGATTTGCGTGTCATGCTTGCGCAGGGGCCATGCTAATCTCTGTATTGTTCCAATTTTAGTACATGTGCTGCCGAAGCCAGCACTGTATTGCTTTTAAAAAGGAAAAATAACCAACTCAATCAGGCTTACCCTGCAAGACCCCACAGGGAACAGAACGAGAAGAGAGGGTAGAAACTACGGAGACATTCCAGCTCGATGCTTTCCGGTTCTCCATGGTCCCCACTCCCCTCAAACTTACGGGAAATCTTGGAGAAACCAGCCCCTGGCTTAAGTTCATAATCTGCCCTCACTTTGGGGATACTGGAGTCAGCGTGACACAGTGGGGAGACATCAGTTTTGGAGTCAGACACAGACCTAGGTTCAAATGCTTGTTTTATCACTTATTAACTATGTGATCATGGGCTTATTGCTCATTTCTCAGTTCAAGGTTATTTCAAGCACAAAACTGGGCCTTTCCCTTTCCTGCCTGGTAGAGTTGTTGGGGGTTGAGACATGAGTTATGTCAAGGGCAGAGCATAACGGGCCAGACACCAGGTATGTTCTCAGTAGATGGTGGCATTTGCTGTACTGGTGGGAAATTGAGGACAGGGGCTTTGCAGTGTTTGCCCATGTATCCCCACTGCCTGATTACGAGCCCCCCAAGCTGCACTCAGCAGAGAACAGACATGAGATGGGGCTGGGAGTGAAGGGCAGAGGACAGATCTGCCTGCAAAAGCAGCTCAGCTCAGCTCAGCTCGAGGAAACTCTGCTGTTTCCCTGGCAACCAGGGGCCCCTTGGTACAAATGTGCAGCTCTTACCAGGAAATGGGAACTGCACCCCCCTCCGAGTGTGTGTGTGTCATGGGGGGGGGGTGGGGAGCACCTACCACATCTACCCAAGATAAGGCTGGACGCCAGATCTCAGTCTTTGTCCAGGCCTGGGGGATGGGGGGAGGGGGGAGGGAACCCCAAGACAAGCAGAAACAGGGACTGAATGAGGCCCAGGAAGTCAGTTGACACAGGGGAGGGAGGGCTGAGGCCTGCCACCTGCACCTCCAGCCCTGAGGCATTTTCTTTTGGCCTCTTCAGCGGAAACTTCAGCTGCTGGCTGTAGCCCAGGCCCATCTGGACAAGAGCCCCTTTCCAAGGAGAGGCGGCTCAGAGGAGGGGCTTCTAAGACTTCAGGAAAATACTCTCAGTTCTGAGAGCAGATTCCGTGTGCCTCATGTGCGTGCACATCTCATGTGTACCTGAAATGCAAGATCCTTCCAGAACACCATGTTCAGATTTCAGTCCAAAGGGCCAATCTCCCTGCTGATTCCAACGGTCTCTCCTCTGAGGGTTCAGGGAAGCTCTGGAGCTAATCATAGATGTGCCGTGTACCCTGGCTCGTCTTAAAGAGGGCCTCTGGTCCCTTCCAGAGCAACCCAGGCTCAAACTGGCTGAACGCTTTATATGCAATGTTTCAGAATCCCAGAAGGGTCCTCAGCAACCCACTACTCGAAGCGTCTCATTTCTAGATGGGGTAAAGGCATCTCGGGAGAGACAGTGACTTGCCAGGCCCAGGAAGCAGCCAACATCTCTGCCTCATAGGCTCCAGTCGTAAGAAGCCCCCATCCAGCCGTGGGCCCGGCCTGCAATGGGATATCAGGAAGAGGACAAAGAACAAGACCCAGGTTCTAGTTCCCAGTCTACCCCTCTGTACCTCAAACAAGCCAGGTTCCCTCTCTGGGAGCCTTAGTTTCTTCATCTATAAAAAGGGGACAATATATCACTCCCTTTGGGAAGATCCAGAGCAGATGTGAGAGGCTTTTATAGATTTCAGCCTGGGATTTCACAGCAGACTATCAGTCCTTGGAGGGTTATCTCCCAGGACACAGGATTCTGCCCCATCCCCACCCGCCAATATGCAACTTCCATCATCTTGGCTGGATAGTTGTTCAAGCCTGGCGAACGCGGCCCCTCCAGACCTGCGCATCTTCCTCCCCTAGGAACCCTGAATCTCTTCTGACCTGGATGAGCTTCGGTGAAGGCTCATCACAACTGATCATTCCAGAAACCCATTCAGAGCCAGAGTCACCTGGATGGCTCTGTGCTGCTGTAGAATCCCCACCCTGCCTCGGTCCTTTGGCCTGCAATCAAGCACATTTCCTTCCTTCTCCTTTGGGAGCTCCCGGCTGACTCTAGGAGGAACAGCTCACCCCTGCCCAACCAGGAGAGCTGGACAGGGCAAGCATCTTGTCTAAGTCATGTGAAGGCATGAGCTAGCTTTGAGGCATGGCTGTCCCCCAGTTGTTTGTGATTTAGGTAAATTACTTAAACTGAATCTCAATTTCCATATCTGCAAAATGCATGTAGAGACATCTATAGGTACTGAGAAATAAATGAAGTAACAGATGAAAAGCACTTAGCACAGTGCCTGGCACACAGTAAAGGCTCAGTAAACGGTAGCTTTTATTATGATGAGCTCAAACATCTACAAAGGAGGCAGTGTGGCATCGTAATAAACCCAGGCTTTGAAGTGGAGGCAGGAGTTCAAATCCTGACACTGCAAATTCCTAGCTTAGGACCTTGGGTAAGTTATTTAAGTTATGTAATTTCTCTGTGCCTCAGTTTCTTCATCTCTGAAATGACAATGTCATAAGGTTTTTGTGAAAAAATTCAAGGAAGTAAGGCATGGTCAGGTACAGATTAAATGTTTAATAAATAAATAGTGCTTTCCGTTACCACAATCACCATTGTTAGAGCGGTGGTCTCCAAAGTGGGGTACTGGGTATGACAATCAGAGGAGGGCCCGCGGCCTACACTGAGCCATGTCACCCCTTTGCTCGCAAGTGTCCCATGGTGCCTTTCAATGCTGCCCCCTTAGCTCAGCATTCAGGCCCTTAGTTATCCTTCCTGACTTCTCAGCTCTCACCTCCCTCCTCTTCACCCTCTCCCCTGCTAAACCAGGAATGCCTCCCACCAGCATTTTTCATCCAGCCTTCTAGAATCTAGACCAGGGCTTCTCAGTTCTGGCTTCATTAATAAATACAGCCTGGGAGTTTTTCAAAATTACCACAGCATAAGGTCAACCCCTAGAGATTCTGACTCAGCTGTTCTGAGGTGAGTCCTGGGCTTTGGTAATTTCTAAAAACTTTCCTAGGTGATTCCAATGCACAGTCAAAGAGGCTGAGAAGACTGTTCTCTGCTGAATTCAAATGCCACCTCTTCTAAGAAGCCAGGAGGGATTTCTCCCTGCTCCAAATCCCCACGGTGCTCTGAAACCATCTTCATCTGGCTGGCTTGGGTCAACCATGGCAGATTTATCATTCCTCCACCAGATGGAGGCTGCTAGCCTGCAAGGCAGGGTGGGGAACCTGCGGTCTCAAGTCCACATGTGGCCCTCGGGATCTCCAAGTGTGGCGCCTCAACTGAATCCAAACTTCACAGAACAAATCCCTTTGTTAAAAGGATTTGTTCTGGGGGAAGTGGTCAGGTGCTGAGTGTTCCCCCCTCTCACTGTTCCTTACTTAAAAAAATTTAAAAAAGGGATTCGTTCTGTAAAATTTGGATTCAGTCAAAAGGCCTCACTCCAGGATCCAGAAGGCCACATGTGGCCCCAAGTTATTGCAGCAAAAAATCTACTTCAAAGGAAAACCCTATGGGGGAGGGGAACCTGCCTTGGAGGCATATGTGGCCCCCTGGATCCTTGTGTGTGGCCTTTTGACCAAATCCCCAGGATTTGCTCTGTGAAGTTTGGATTCGGTTGAGGGGTGCACCTGGGGATCTGGAGGGCTGCCTGTGGGGGGATCTGACTTTAGCCCTTCATCTTCAAGCTATCTTACAGCTCCATAAGTTGCAGATAATTGACAGTAACACAAAGTAATTCTAATACAACCTTATTCTGTCCTATCTGGTAAAGGGCCAATTGACTGCCTGCCCCTCAGGTGGAAAAACCAGTTTTGCCTCTAATTACATAGTCCTTTCAATATAAAGGTGTCTACTGATTTTCTTTTGAGCTGGTTATCACAACGGCCTGCTGTGGTCATTGATTAATGAGTAAAATAAAATCTTTAGCACATGTTCATTTTACATCTACGTGAGCCATGATTCTATCCTTTTTTGAAAATTATTGCATATGCCTCTTTGCTGCACCCCCACCACAGGGCGTGGCTCTTAAGGATTGCTGGGTAACTGTACCAAGTGGCTTTCATGCTTTCTTTAGTGACCTCCTTGAAAAATCACACAACAAATGGAACCATCTAGCCTCGTGGTTACAAACTGTGCTTTCCTCCTCATTCTACGACCAGGAGAGGAAGTAGAGGTTAGGTATCTTGCTCAATGTCATAATAAAAAAAAAAAAAATCAGTTATTAAGCAGGGACTCATTCTTCAAAAAATATTTACTGAGCAGCTTCTGCAAACTAGGCCCACTGGTAGGCGTTGGAGGTAGAACAGAAAATGAGACAGAGGGGCTCCTGCCCCCACGCAGGTGGCAGTCTAACACAGCACTCTACAAATTTTTTTTGATCCTACACACAACCAGTTAACAAAAGAAAAACATTCAGCGTTCATCATGATAAACAGAAATATACTTTCTTTGCCAACCATATCCTGTATGAAGAAATATACTTTTTAAACGTGACATTAAAAGTATACACAATAAGAGGTCTAACATTCAAAAGCAAGCCGGGTTTAAAGAAAAAAGAAAAGAAAAGAGGTCTAACAGTTTCTTCCTATATCCCAGAAGATCATCGTCAGTGCCTCCCAAGGTGTGTCCACTCCGTTTGGAAGCCCCTGGCCTATAAAATCTAGATCCTTCCTTCTTTCCCCTTTCCTGATGGCTTGTCCCTCAGCCCACAGGTAGACACCTAGGACCAGCTCCATAGCCCTCCGGAAGCCTCAACTCTGATGACGCCAGGGTAAATGCCATCCCTGGCTCTGTGCCTGGGCACACCCCCCAGCTCAAGGCACTCAGGTTTCTTAGAGAGCAGTGTCTTTCCCTCTCCTGACCCAGAGCCACTGACCCTAGGCTGGACAAGGCCCCAGAAGATCATCTATCTGTCTGCCCCAGAAGAGGAACTGGTCTGGCCTGGGTTCGAATCCCAGTTCAGGTCACTTTTGTGAGAGGCAGCAAAATGTAGTGTCCTTAGATTGAAGTGTGAGAGTGCTTTTTAGTAGCTGTGTGGCCTTGGGCAAGGATTTAACCTCTCTGTGCCTGTTTCATATGAAAAATGGGGATAACAAGAGTACCTACATCATAGGAGTTAGGGTGAGGATGAAAAGAATTAAGACAAGTCTAGTGCTTAGAAGAGGACCTGGCCCAAAGGAAACACTATACTGTATAAGTATTTATAATTAGGATTTCTTCCTTAAACTCTTGAGGATGGAAGTTTCCACATCCGCAAAATGGGCATAATAACAGCATCTAACATAGCAAGCGTTCAGCCAGGGCCTGGTAAGTTGTAAGGGTTCAATAAATAACGGTGGTTGCTGTTTTATTGTTATTATTTAAGGAGCACCAAGATACTCGTTTGACATGAGAGGAACCTGTGGCTCAGGTGGCCTGCCTTCTCAAGCACCACACCCTTCTGAGATTACAACAGCAGCACTTGCTTCTCTGATCACAGCACTCTACAGTTTACAGGGCACTTTCACATCTGCCGTCTTATAACTTCATGAAGGTATCGACCTCATCCTCATCTTACAGATGGGGGAATCTGAGGCTCAAGGAACCCACAGACAGTCATTTCTCCATAATCAGTCTCTGTGGGGGCTTCTCAACCCCAAGAGGAAAGGGAATGCCGCTGGCTTCCAAGCAGTTTATAAACATAAGGACCACCCCGTGCTTCCTTTTCTCTATTGGCAGGGGGAGAGGAGGGCCAAGCGTGCTCAGGAATCACAGTAGAGACCACATCCTGTGCTTTGTCCCCTCCCAGGAAGTATCTTGGAGAGGCAGGGTCAGGGGAGGCTGGTGGCTCCACTGAGCCTCTGCAGAAGGTCCCAGAATGGTACAGCAAGAAGAGCCATCAGATCCAACCTGGGTGCTGGGTGCCCTGGACACACACCTTTTCTCTCTAGGGAGGAAGGAACTAAGGCCCAGAGGGGTAGTAGGTGTGCCCAGGGCTCCCTCTGGGTGCTGCAGTGCAGATGTTCTAGACCTTGGCAGCTACCCAGCACTGCGGTCTCCCCTACCTCATCCCAGGAAACCAGCCCCACGAGGCCAGGCCCCAGGCTTCTCCAGGCAGCCCCCCCTCGTCTGCACACTGACATCCAATTGTGCCCCAGCAACAGCTGTGGCCCTTACCTAGAAACCGCAAATATTTTCTGTATCCCAGCAGAGGTACCCTTGGGAACAAAGGGTAGAAGGCAAAGAAAAATGGATGAGTGACTGTCACAGCTGCAGAGAGGGATGAAAGCCTCTGCCTCCCGCCCTCCGCGGCCCCACCCAACTCCCAGAATCCCAAATCTTAGAACACCCGCACCGGAAGTGGCAGGCCGTTTAGCAGACTTTGCTATAGGCGGGCAACAAAGACCCAGAGAGGAAAGGGCTTGCTCAGGAAACCCCAGCGCACCTGGACTGGACCCGGGCTTTCCACTGCCCGCTAGGCCAGTGCCCTCTGCACGGCTCAGGGGCTGCCAGCTAGGTCAGGGTCCACAGGGCTGAAACTGGGGCGGTCATTCACCGCTCCTCGGAGGGCTGCGCAGGTCAGGATATCCTGTCTGCATCGGTGTGGCCGGCAATTTAACGTGTGTTTTGGGGAAGGCGGGAAGGAATAGCAGAGGAAAAAGAGCGGACTCTTGGGGGAAACCAGTCCTTTCACAAACCCTGAGCCATATGTCCAAATTTGGAATTGTCGGAAAAGACCCACCAGAGTTTAGAGAAAAGGAAGGGGAGGGAGGAAGCAATGGCCAGACTCGTCCTCCCAAAGGACCTCCTTCCCCTTCCCCTTCTAGGCCCTACAAGGGTTGGGCCAGGCTTCCCAAACCTATAATCAATATTCTCAAACCTGTAATGGTTCCTTGCAGCTGACAAATAAATCCATTTTCACAGCCATTGTTTCCTCTGAAACAAGCTGAGTTTATCAGCTTTCCTTGGAGAAGGAAATTCAGGCTCAGAGAGGGAAAGCCACTGGCTCAAGGTCACAGTGCAAATTGTTGGAGGAGCTGGGATGCGGATTCAGGGTACTTCACTCCCATGCTAGTATGTGGGGGTCATCTGAAGCCCCCAAGCTTTAGGAAGGCCTGTTCTTAGGGAAAGCATAAATAGCTCTGGGAGCCCCGCTGGGAGACTCCTTCATCAGCAAGCAGTGGCCCAAAGAGGGAAGGGGGTCCACGGGGGCCGCAGGTATGGACAGCAGGTCCTCCACCCCCATTTCACGCAGAGAGCCCTCCCCCCAGCACCCCATATAAGCCATTCCATATGCAAATGGAGGGTCAGACTCTTCAGTCTTTGTCCTCAGCCACACCCTTCCCTGCGGGTTCTTAGCCCCCAACCCCGGGCCTTCGACGTCTCTTCAACCCCCAAGTTAAAGCCGGCAGCACCAGCAGCCTGCCCCGCCCCAGCTCCGGCGCCCCCAGCCCTCGACCACACCCTCTGCAGAGCCAGGGCTCCCCTCTGCAGAGCCAGGGCTCCCCTCTGCTCCGCTCCCCCGGGCGCCCTCCGCCTGCGCTCCTCCGCCGGGCCCTAGATTTGCTCCACTGCGCTCCCCTAGACACACCCAGCCGCGACACTCTCGGGTTACCGCGCCCTCCTGGCGGGGGGCATCGATCAGCCGGTGCCTGGGCGTTTATTGCAAGTCCCCTCGTCCCTGCAGCCCCCAGGAGTGGAGGGTCCCCTGGAGTGACTCCCCTCTCCGGGATCAACCCACTCACCGCGGGCGAAGCCTCTTGTCGCAGACGGACGCGCGGACGCGGAGCTCGCTGGGTCGGAGCCCGTTAGCGGAGCAGCAGCCGCAGCGCAGGGGCGGGCCGCGGGACGGCCGGCGGCTCGGGGTCGGACACGTGGCGCGCAGAGACCAATCCGGCTCGCCCGCCTCCCCCCTCCATCCTCCAACCCCCTCCACCCCCACCCTTCAAGTTCTTTTGCTCTTGGAATCTTAGAATATCACCGGCCGGAGTGGCCTCGCTGGGAGAACCATGTCAGTTCTCAGACCCTAGACCTGAGACCCAGGGTGGGTAGGAGGATTTGGCCAAGGTCACTCGGCCACTCGCTGCTAGACGTCAGGGCTCCTGACTCCCAGTACTGGACACATTCCCCCAAACTCCCACAACTCGCCAAAGCTTTGTAGAGAAACAGAAAATTGAGGCTTGCCAGAGGCGGAGCCCTTTATCTACCTGATTGGATTCCAGGGCTCAACCGCCCCTGGGTTTTGTGACGTTTACCCACTTTCCGGAGAAGAGCCCAGAGAAGACCAGTTCCTCGAGCAAGGTTGCACAGCTACTAGGTTGTGGAGCCGGGATTTGAACTTAGGCCATTTCTGTGAAATTTGGATTCAGTCAAAAGGCAGCACTCAAGGATCCAGAAAGGCCACGTGTGGCCCCAAGGCTGCAGGGTCCCCACCCCTTGATTCTGGGGAGTGCATATTCCAGGGGGGAGGCAGACAAGGAGACCAGCAGTTGTAATCCAGGGCTGTGGGGAAAATGCTGGAACATGAAAAATTGATAAACTCTTTTGGGAAGCCAGAGAAACTGAGAGTTTTTGCCATTCTCCCGGAGGGATGTGTACAGACGTCCCAGAGAAGGTGAAGCTGTACTAAAGGTCAGTTCCTTCCATTCTCTGGCTCCCGCAGGAATCCTGCCTTGAGGAAAGACGTCCAGCTCAGCCCCTGCGTCTCCATGGGCAACGCCCAGAACTGCTCTGATTTCCGGTTGGATCATCTGAGAGACGGGGATAACCAAAGCATCCTCAAAGGGTGGCCTCAGAATCTGTCTCTAGTTCAGAGACCGCTAAGCCTCTAACAAGCAAATCTGGTTGGAAAATATGTTCTTCCGCTTTTTCATTTTCCTAACAAATATTTATTGAGCACCGGCTGCATGCCAGGCACTGAGCTGGGAGACCCGAGTGAGCAGGTGGGAGTGGGTCCCTGATCTGCCTTCATGGAGCGCCTACTTTCAGGGAAGACAGGTAGCTAGATTGTTGTTACAGTGGAGTCTAGAGTGTTGCAATATCGAAACTACAGAGGGCTGTGATGGCCCAGAGCAGATGGACTCAGCCCAACCTCGGCCTCTGAATGAGAGCCCTGTTACATTGCAACCAGAAAGATGAGTGGACTCTAGTGGGAGACTAAGAAATTAGAATAATCATAAGATGAGATCTGCTGTTAGTCAAAGCAGCTGCTTCCGAGATAGAATAGGAAGGGGCTGGATCCAGTGAAGATGGAGGTGGGGTCTCATTGAGCATCGTAATAGTAGCCGCATTTAGTGAGCATTTTCTGTGAGCCAAGCACTATTGTGAGCACTTTGCTTTGCCATGTCACGTTTAATCCTCACAATTCATGTATTAATAATAAATGTTTATCCACCACCTACTACGTGCCAGGAACTATTTTAGGAGCTTTATCAACAAACAAAACAAAGATCTCTGCCCCTGTGAAGTCTGCGTTCCAGCAGAGGGGAAACAGACACACAATAAGTCAATAGGACGGTGTGCTGGTAGGTGGCAAGAGCTGTGGACAAAAAGAACAAAAACTAGATGAAGAGTCCCAGAGTGGCAGGCAAAGTTGCAGCATTATGTTTTGTAGGGTGTTCGGCAGAGGCTTCCGTGAGAGAGTGATATTTGCGCAAAGACGTGGAGGAGACGAGGAAGTCAGCAGAGCTGAGCAGCTATCTGTTGAAAGAGTATCCCAGGCAAAGGAAAGCGCTGGAGCAAATGCCGGGTAGCAGGAGCAGGCCTGGCGTGTCCAGGGAACAGCAAGGGGGCCAGCGTGCCTGGAGCAGAATGAGTGAGAGAGAGAGTAGCAGGAGAGGAGAGATAAGGACCAAATCATGTGGGGCCTCAGGAGCCCTGGTAGGGACTTTGTCTTTTCCTCTGAGTCATTGCAGGGCATTGAGCAAAGAAAGGACTTGATCTTTTTAGGGAGGGGGATGTGAAATCCATATAACATAAAATTAACCATTTTAAAGTGAACAGTCGAGTGGCATTTAATATGTTACAATGTTGTACAACCACTGCCTCTGTCTAGTTCCAAAACATTGTCATCAGTGTTTTGTCAAACATTGCAAAGGTAAACCCCATACACATTAAGGAGTCCCTTCCCAATTCCCTTTACCCCTAGTCCCTGGCAACCACCAATTTGCTTTCTGCCTTCATGGATTTACCTATTCGGAATGTTTCATTTAAATGGAATCATACAATATGTGGCCTTTAGTGTCTGATGTTTATGTAGCATAATGTTTTTGACGCTCAGCTACATTGTAGCATGTATCAGTACTTCGTTCCTTTTCATGGCTGAATACTATTCCCTTCTGTATAAATATGCCACGGTTTGCTTATTTGTTCATCTGTTGATGGACATTTGGGTTATTTCCATTTTTTAGGTGTTGTGAATAGTGCTACTAATGAACATT